GCTCAGGGGCACCTGGCCACTGCACTCTTCCTCCACCCACCATGGTCCCAGGGAAATCCCAGTGAGTGTAACCTATCCTCAGATGTCCTCATAGAACTGTCCCTCAGTGGAAATTAACCCAGTCAGATTCAGCCATTTGTGACCCAGTGAGCATTTCCTGGAAGCCTGCTGTGTGCACAACACCGTGGGTCATGCAGAGGCATGTGTGAATAGAAAGGGCCAGATCTCCCCCTCGTGCAGGGAAGCAAAGAGCCAAAATGAGAAAATTTAGTATGATAAATGGTCTGAAAGACAGCAAAACCAAACCAAGAGTGAAGTCCCCACGACCTCAGCAAGTAATCAGGGGAGGAGGACATTCCAGGAGGTGGCGACAAGGTGCCCACACACATAGCAATGTTTCAAGGACACTCTGTGCCAGGTGCTTGACTCAGCACTTCACATGCTCTCTCTCCATTAATCCTCCCACCAACATGCCCATTCTACAGGGGAGGGTACAGCGGCCTTAACTAGTTATGTGGCCTGCCCAAGATCCCATAGCTAATAGATGTTGGCTCTAGGATCTGAGGCTAGGCAATCAGATGACAAAACCCTGCTCTTACCACCAGACTGTTGTTGATAGGTGCCAACGAGTCGATTTTTGACTCAGAGTTACCCCATGTGACAGAGTAGAACTGTCCCATAGCATTTCCTAGGCTGTGATCTTTACTGGAGCTGATTGCCAGGTCTTTCTCCCATGGAGCCTCTGAGTGGGTTTGAACCACCAACCTTGCAGTTACCAGCTGAGCACTTAACCATTACACCTTCACGGCTCCTTAGCCTGCCTATTTAGATTGGTTGGGTTTGAGACAGGCCACTGTGGTGATCAAGCTGGTAATGGGATTGGGATCAGATCATGGAAAGCCTCAAAGGCTGGTCCAAGGAGGTCTTATTCAAGAAGCAGTGAAGCTGTGACCAAAAGCAAAGGGCAGGGTGGACTGAAACCTGGAAACCAGGCAGGGGAGCCGTGGCAGAGCAAGGCATGAGGGAGCCGTGGCAGAGCCAGGCATGAGGGAGCCGTGGCAGAGGAAGGCATGAGGGAGCCGTGGCAGAGCAAGGCATGAGGGAGCCGTGGCAGAGGAAGGCTGATGGAGGGGATGGTCTGAATGGGGGTGAGGAGGCCAGCACTGGGAGAAGGGAGCAGGAATAGGGAGTTGGTGTCAGGAATTAACTTGGTGACGGATGGGTCCTAGGAGTGAAGGGAAATTGCAAAACTGGAAGACCATGCCTCAAGCCTGGGCATGGGGGAGGAGGGGCACCGGGGAGGGGGGCAGGAAGAGAGAATGGAGGGGGAGCTTGTTTCCTCCTCCAAGAAAGGTTAAACCAGGGTGAGGAAAAGACCCCTGAGCACCCCTCTGGGATCCACAGCCCACAGCCCCCAACATACCAGGTGCTGGGTA